GATAAAGCGCGCGCGTGTAGTTTTATGTTGTTATGAATATATAAATTGCATCTATGCATACAAGACAATATTTTAAAAAATTTGACTTACACCACTATGGCTTTTACCCCTCCATATGTAACATTATTTATAAGAAAATTATTGTAACAAGGAATTATAAGGAAACGTGTAATAAATTTGAAATTGTATGATACTAATGCCGGATATATTATACGAAATCAACAGAAGACGATTAAGATAATAACGGTGTTTATTCTTTATCTATAGAATTTCACATTTTAAAAATTATCGTTAATTATTATAAATTTCACATAAATGTGAAGGTTTGAATCAACGCTCAAATAATAGCTTCTTGCTCGCAAAATTTGACATTTATCTGAAAATTAAAATTATAAAATTACGATTATATTTTTCAAAATTATGAGATACAAAATTCGTAATAATTTTGAAGAATGTAATCTTAATTTTGTAATTTTAATTATCGTAATTCGTTATTAATTGGAATACGCAAGATGGAAGCGCGGCCGCCGCGGCCAGAGAATATCCCCTCCAGCTGGCTCGGACACGAACCATTAGCACGGACGCAAACCATGTGCGGTTACCGAGCGATACGACGTAGTTGAGTTGCACTTTCTCAGGCGGCGCGTCGGAAAATGCAACACAGCAACACACGAAAAAGGCCGGAATGGCCTCTCTTCTCTCAGGTTTCTCTCTGGTTAGATCGATGTGTCACGTGAACAGTACGAAGAATTCTCTCATGTGATCTGATGTGATCCCTTCAGTTTTCGATAGCTGTAAATAGCTCGCACGCGATACGGCCGCTTGCTCCGCGCTCGTACGCCACTTTTCGAAGGATCTGTGATCAGACAGGAAGAAAAAAAAAATGGGCGCTTCCGCGTTACCCGTGATAGCCTTCACGCTTCTCTGGGGCATCGTGCTATTCCTTGGAGTAGCTCTACCACTTTTCGTTCCGAAGGGACCAAACCGAGGGTAAATAGACGCTCTCAACGCTCTTATTTGCCGTCGCACATTCTTGTTCCGTTGCAATTCACATGTAACATAAATCTCACGAAACAGACGTATATTTTCTCTCACGCAAACATATTTTTCCTTCTAACGTCACAGCTCTTGCAAAATTTGGCAATAACAACAAGGCGTTTTACTTAACTTTCCATGAAGATTTCCGCTAATAGAGATACTTCGAAAGCATCAATAATTCGCTCGAGTATTATTCATAATATAATTTTAATTTATGTGTGTTTCTAGGATACTACAAGTTCTACTGGTGTTAACGGGCTTTACGTGCTGGTTATTGTAAGTATATTTTCTTGACATCTTGACGCTCTAATTTATATTTGTTATTATTAATACGTAAATGAAATTTTCTTACAGCTGGCTATGCTGCTACATGGCGCAGATGAATCCATTGATTGGACCGAAGTTAGATAATGTAACCATCCTAGTTATGGCTCGAGAATGGGTACGTAAAAAAAATATCAAAGATATAAGTAATTGAACATGTGTCATATATATAAATTGATTTAATTAATTATTGTCGTTAAGCAATTACATAAGGAAATGTATAAATAATTTATATTTGTAGGTATATTACTGTCTATATAATGCACGTTGTTTTATTACAGGGTAATCCTATTTCCGACTAATGAACATTCCACGGTGCGCGAAAATTTTGATTTCAAGTATATACATCCATTCCCCGACGTTACTTTTAACGAAATTGTGTAATTATAAATGTGTAAAATTATACGAAGGTAAAACAAAATACCAGTACATATTAATAATTCCTATAAATGGGGAATAATTGTAATTCAGTTATATATTATATAATTTAATTTGTATATAAGATATCTATCGTAATTGCTTAGAAATGTGTAAGAATTTTAATGTAATGATCATCTGAAGAAATTATTGTTGGGAAAACGAAATAACGTTGTTTTAATCAAACACATCCTTGTATTGCTCAAACCTGTGTTTCCCAGCAAAAGTAATGATACAAAAGATTAAGGATAGAAAACCTATGTGCAATAAATAATTAAAATCTCACATTATTCGATAAAAAATAATAAAATTGTACTCTCTATAATTCATAAAATATAATTATACATCAGAAGTCCTGTCCTATATTTTAATACGACTAGAATTTATAAGATTTATTTTCAAACAAAGATTTTTTTAAAGGATGTAAAACGATATGTATATTACAGTAAACGATATATAATAATTTATTGTTACGCAAAATAGCAATTTATGTCCTAAGTATAATATAAAATACATTTAATACAATCGCGTAATTTTCGATTATTAATTTCAAAT